AACCGATCCCCGTGCGTCGATCACTTTTTGCCACCAATTTTGATTTTAGGAGCTGTTAGTACCGTTCTTGAAAATTTGTGTTTTTTTGGAATGCTTGGCCATTTCAAGTATATAAGTGTACAATTTCATTTGCGCACTATATACCACGATATTTGTCAGTGTGCACATGCACACGTATACGTTGCGCACATTACTAGTGAAATCGGATTTAGTATCTCCACCTTATATTTAGGTTAATTAATGTAAGAGTGAATACTTTTCACTACCGATTATTTTCTTCATTATCGGTTATGAGCCCTTTCGCTACTTATGTGTATAAGGAAGAATAGCGATTGATTTTTATCTTATTAAACGGTGGTAATTAACGGTTTATGGATATCGAATTGATAATATAAATAATATAAATTCTTCAATATGAATAAAATTAAACCTACGATATTAAATTATTTCTTATAAAGTTTTGCTTCTTTACTTATAAACGGTTCCTGACAAAAAGCCTTCTCTGCTTAATAGGTATTAAATAAATTTATTATTAATAAGATAATTAAATAACAATCACTTAACGTGAAAAAGTCTTAGTTTCACATAAGTACTAAGAAAATGAACAATTGTCCATGTAATAAATTTGCGATACAATAATAATATGTATATATGTAATATTTTTGAAATATACCTACCGTCACAATTGATGTGACGGTAGATATACAGGGTGTCGGATTCGTTACTGACCAAATAAAAAATTATGGTAGATTGGGTGAAACTGAGAAAAAGAGTCGCGTACCAGTTTGCAATTTTCGTAATAATTAATGAGTTATTAATTATAAAAAATCGCCGTCTTGGTCTACCGCCCAATTCAAGCGTCAGATTCACGAATTTTACAACAGTTGCAAAGCAACTTTTTCTGCTGAACGTAGCCATTTATTATACGTACCTAGCCGTTACACCGAATGTAATAAACAATCCCGCGCCTAGCAACGTTGATCTTTGGTGGTCGCATCAGTTTCACCCAATCTACCATAATTTTTTATTTAGCCAGTAACGAATCTGACACCCGGTATAATATAAACCAATTATACGGCAAACATAAACGAAAACACTGTTTCTCGCTGCGATTTGGCATAGAATAATTATTACCGTCGTTTATATTATAGATAATACTAGGCGATTCGAGCGGACGAATCCGTTCGAATAGAATACTGTATAATATAACACGCTTGCTATTCGATGCTGCGATATTACGATTGATACTGATAAGAATAAATGACATCGCGGGGGGGTCTCTGAGATTTTTGGTTCTCGTTAAACGAAGCCATTTCTCGAGCGTCAACACTTTCCCAACCATGCGTCCCCGTACACATTGCTCTAGTCGTTATGTTAATGGTGTAGATCTTCGTCCTCGATAAGACTCACCGAACCGATTCTTCACACTCTTATTGTTAGTACGAAAAGAAGGTATGACGTAATCGTATGTCGAGACTGACACGATGAATCATAAAGATTCTTAAATTCTTATCGTACGAATATTGGCATTGCCAGTTCGTAATCATTGAATGAGACCATATTGCATTGCGATGTTGAAAATAAGGGAACGGTTTTCTTCCGTTTGTAAAAGTGCATTGCGATGTTGAAAATAAGGGAATGGTTTTCTTCCGTTTGTAAAAGTGACAGGTTTTATTTGATTCTTTCTTCCTTTTCGCATTATCGAAAGCGCCCTATTGTGTTGGTTCGACGACAAATGTGCGCAACGATTAATTGACGTAATCTCATTACGGGGAATCAGATCGAGCTAATTAACGCGATAGCCTTGACTCCCTCTCTTTTTTACTTCTTTTGCGTTTCAAATCCCTCTGTCCTGTTTCTTTTCATCTTACGTTTTCTTATTGTGTTAGTTTGCTCATTAGTGTTCTTCCAGAATTTTTCTATCGATTTTCCTTCTTTTACTTCTTTCTGAGAAGTATAATTTTTGTTGGTAACGATTGTGTGTTTTGCGCCTGCATTAATCGCCATTAATATTTTTCATATCAGAATATTTATCTACGTTATTATTGCGATACTTATTTAATGTTAATGTTACTGTATTCATCACTAACAATGATTTACATACAGTTCAATGTTCCGTATTGAATGACTTGGAAGTAAATTTAGTTTGCATTAATATTGATTACTTTTTATCATTATTATCACTGATGTGATAAAGAGTTAAAGGTAAATAAAAACATATAATAAAAATATCAAGTATTTGTAACGATAAAAAGTTGGATAAATTGGGGAAAATATAGTTAACTTTTCACTCCGAGATTCGTAGGAATACATGACTATGCAAATTTATATTATTTGGCATTCAAATCTGTGTTGCTTATTATCTTATTCTCCATTATAATTATATTAATATTCGCTAAGCCCTATTTCAATACTGAATATACTTGGTCGTATTCATGTTCATGTAACACAGTTCTGTTCTGTGTGTATTACAAACTATACTATTAGGAAACTACACTATTAATCGAAAGTCGCTTCATGCATTAATTTCATTCGAGTACAGGAGCCGGTTTTCTATAAACGTCTCGAGTCTCCCTCACAAATGAAGTAAACCGTTACGATTTCACTGGATCAATGGACAGGTTCCACGCGACAATCCGTAAATCTGAACTTAGATTTCTTTTATGAAAATTATACGTATATGTTTATTTGTTTACTATTGGTACCCGTTATTAATTGACTTTGCGATGAATTACGTCGAAGCCAAACCAAGTTTTGCGGATACTAACGTTTCAGAGCTTGCAACGATCAAATTTATTATTTTTTATGCTGAAAAATATTCAAATTACTTATCTGTTTATCAATTCGTAGTAATCAAGTTAAATAAAATTAGACAGCAGACACGAAAGTACATGTTGGTAAAAAATGCAAAATAAGTTAAATTTGCACTTTATGTTTTGGCACGTTGACGAATACGAGAAATATTACAATATTAGATACGCGGTGTATAATTGTAGTTAAGATATATTCGATAATAAATCTAGTTGGTTTGAAAAATTCTTTCTGACAAATGCCGATTTTGTCTCGATCAACTTTTTTATATATGTATATTGATTATGTTATTGTGACCAGTAAAAACCGTCTTTCAAGCATTACCTTTGTGTGGAAGAGCCTTGAAAATTACGATATAAAACGACAAGGAAGAGCAAAACCGTTCAAGGAAATTTAAGACCACTTTGAACAATTATCGAGTACGTATTTTTATTTTTCAAATCGCAATTATAGTTGATCTTGCGTTTATCAACTTGCTATGTGTTTTTCAATGCACCTTGTTACGTCATTTACATCAACTGCTATCTTATATCGTAAGCGCGTGTAGAAGTGTAAAAACAGGCTTTTACCTACGAATAATGCCGCATTTTATCGTTCGCTGCAGTTTGCACTTTGGCATATAGCTGTTACGCGTACAAGCAGAATATTTTTAATGGTTGTTGAATCGATCTCTCATTGCCAAGATTAAAGTTGAAAAGTGTACGCCATCTACCATCTGATTCGATATTTTGCGTTTGGTCATTTTTCCCTCGAATTTATGAGAATCTTTTATTCGATACCATTCTGTAATTTATGATCCAGTGATTTCCTTGTACAATATACATATAACCATCTACTCAAGATACCGGCATCTATTCCTCCCTTACGTACCGTACTCCGTTATACATATATGAGAAATATAGAAGCAAAGCTCGTATTTTCAGTTTCTTCAAGACTTTATGTGAAAATTAAGGGCTTGTCGCAAGTATAGATTTGGATAACTCTGATGATAAGAAACGTTTTATTGTTTAGTCTTTTATATGAAATTAGAAATGCTAAATGCTTATGTTACTCTCGTCGTTTCTAATTCGATGGCGAAAGAAAACTTGAGAATACCAACTTTGTTTCTACATATCAAATACAAACAATTTGAATCATCTTAATACAGGAATTACAAAATTGTATTATCGTCCCTCGAATTCGGAAGAATCAAATGAGACTTGCTAAAAGAAGTTTTATTGTACCAAATGGCGTGGAACTTGCAATTTTTCCGCCATCCATTCCGGCACTTTAAGGCCTATACGCTTGTCAGTTAGAAAACGCGCTGCTTCTTTGGTCATCGTCGCACAATAGAATGCGCGGTCGCAATTCGCAACGATATCTCTACGCTCTGATTTCGCAACAAATTTTTTTCTAAAATTTCACAAAAATGTGCTGTTATAAAAACATCTCGTCTCCCGGACGTCTATACATGCTACGGAGTCCCTTCAGGGAATCACAAATCACGCACACGTAATTCGTACGTGTCCGTACGAATACTCTCTACCTACCTTTTATGTCTCGGCGCCGCTAATTCGCCGAGCGATAAGTCGATTATATATTTATGTTATAAATGATAACTAAATTGCACTAATACATTGCACACGTTCTCGGACGTTCTTTGGCATCTCTACAAATTATTACATATACATATATTTTGCTAATCGCAAGTTCTGAGAGAGAGGGAAAAAATCGCATCCAACGCCCATTCGTAGGCCCGTGCGTATACTCGAGAAAAATGACTTGTACGAGTTCGAGTCTCGAATAGATTTCCTGAGAAGAAAGTCGATGTAACACAGACGTTATACGTGATCGGGTTCCGCTTCAATTGCGTGAGATTGTTTATTATATTTACATCTTTGGGAACATTTAAACAGATTACACACCTACGTTATTGTTTTTAAATATTTCCCCCAAACAAACAAACTTTTTCCAAGAGCATTCTACCTACATACATACGCACAATTAAACACGTATTAAAGTAACTAAAATAATTCAACAGTGGCAAACATAATAATACTATAATACTACGTAAAATATGACGAGGAACTTTTCTGATCGATTAAGATGTATTCTTCTTCTGCGATACCTAACAAGGGTTTGATAAGTCGAAAACATGATATAAGATTTGAAATAAATATGTAACAAGGAATAAAAAATATAGATATATTCAGCTTGTTGCTGACTCAGATCTACTCGGTTATTATTATAATAAATATTAAACTACAGAAATCTTTGAGTACTCGAACCCGTAGCTCATTTTCTCCAAGTCCTCGCACAGTCCTAACGGAGGGACAACGGATGACTGTATCTGTTTGGCGCTACTATCATTCCCGTCCATTCACCAACCAGCGCATCTCGACCTACATATTACATATGTCGTCCCCATTGAATATTAGATACGGTTCCATCAGACGCCACGGATTTTCCACGAGAGTCCGTTTGTCAAATCGATCGGCCAGTAATCGTAGAGTATAGACCGCGACACGGGTCAGGCGTATAGTATTACAGAGGCATACGTAGTTTTGATATATCTAGATAACAATAGTCCGACCAGAGAAATCCCTTTCCTTTCTCACCCCCTGAAAAAATGAGACGCGCCGACGATGGTGATCGATCGAAAGTAATGCAATTTGTGCGATCTTACACAATAAAAAAAGAAACGTCGTCCGGATGCACCGGTAACGATCGTTTTTACCTCGAGTAAAATAACTCTGAATTATGTTCGATCGATATACGTAGCGGTAAAATCTTTCAACTCTCTCTCGCGCTTAGAAAATTTTCAGTTGAATTGGAATATTAAAATACATATATTTTATTCGTATAGAAATCGCGTCTCTCGATATTAAAGTTTAACGACCGAAACAATTAACAGGAAACTAGTAAACGGGAAAGGCAGAGGTAGGGGGATGAAAGGTAAGAGGCACGCGCTTATGGCGGCTTCTGGACGACGTTGAAGTAACTGCGTTGAAGTAGCTTTTGATTACGATATTGCGAGACCACGACAGCTTGAGGGTTCGGGATGTGGCGGACGCCGAGATTGGGCTTGATTTTCATGCCGAAACCGGAGATGCGATGACGCGGCTGCGGTATGCGCAGAGCGACCTTACTGGCGTTTACGTTCGCGGAGGCCAGTGCCAGCGACTCTGCTGCCGGATTCTTTTCGACCAGGCAGCCGCTCAGGCGTGACACCGCGGCATCCGAGAGGGTCCTCAGATTCGATTCCTGTCCCTTGCCGCGCTGTTGCTCCGACTCCTTGGATTTGCGGAAACTACCGGCGGCACCGATCGTGGATCGCGCTGGCAGCCTCGACGATGGCAACGATGGTAAGGACGACATCGAGCACGACGACGGCGAGGAGGAAGATGAGGAAGAAGAGGAAGAAGGGGAATAGGCGGAGGATGACGAAGAGGAGGAAGAGGAGGAAGAGGACGAGGGGGACGAGGAAGATGGAAGAGTGGACTGACCGCTACCGGGTAACGTAGCTGACAGGTCGAGGATGTTGTCGTTGACGGTGGTGCCGCCGCCGCCGCCGCTGCCGCTGCTAAGATCCAACGGCGTCTCGTACTTAGAAGTGGCGCTGGGCACCACCACGCTGGTTGCGGTAAAACCGGACGGTTTTGCGACGCGCAGAGGCGTTAACGGCGGTGGTTCCTTCTTTTTCGGCGTGATAGGTGCGGCAGGCACGGGTGCGGCGGAAACGGAAGTGAAAACGGATGTCTTAACGACGGACGTCAAATCCTCCTTCGTCGACATAATAGTCTTGAGCGCGTCGCGCATCTGCTTCTCCGCCAGCAAGCTTCGCACGCGATTCGCCTTGCTTTCGCGCAACTGTTTCTCCAGCTTCTCGCGGTCCAGACTGTCCGTCCTCTCAGTGCCGCTCTGTGCGCGTTGCTTCGCCATTCTGTCACCGCCGGCCTCGTTAACAGCTACCAGGCCCAGTCGGCGCAGAATCTCCTCATCTTTCTTCGGCCTCTCCGGTTCGTCGCTCTTCTCCGCCGTCTCCTCGCTAGTCGCTTTTTCCGCCGCGGCACACTCCTCGGACTTGGTCTCCTCCGTTTGATTGCTGATGTTCTGCGCGATACGCACGACCTCGTCGGGGATGCTGTCGATGATATCCTCGATCGTTTCTTCCGCCTCTCTCGCGGACTCCTTGGACTTGGTCTCCTCCCGGACTAGCGGACTCGCCGTCGATCGCTGTTGAACGCCGATCGTTTTGATCTTGTCGCGTCTAACCGCCCGCATCTGCAACAGTTTCTCTTTCGTCGGACTGTTGGCGGTCGCGTCGAGGCTTCCACTGCCACCACCCCCGCCGCTGCCTGTCGCCGCGGTAATCGCGGAGGTAATCCTCGGGGGGCACGGCGTCAGACGGACCTTGAGTTTCAGGAGATCCTCACGCGGCGTCGTAGTGATCTCCGCGATCACCCGCTTGTTTCGCCGTTTGCGCCGCTTTCGATGCTCCAACCTTGCCATATCCTTGCTTCTCGTACTCTCCGGCGACCGGCGACGATGATTCGTCGGCAGTTCGGTAACCGACGGGGGGTCCGGAGTGCGCATAACGGGCGTCACCTCGCAACGGGGCTTTTTCGTTTTCGTCTCTTTGTCGCGGACATCGATGCTCGTCGTTTCGAGGGCGGCGCGAGGTGGCTCCGGGCCGCGAGCTTCCTGCTCGCGACCAGGCTTGGGACTCGGCGGTGGGGTCGGCGGTCGCTGGATATTTTCGATCGATGGCGGGACATCCTTGGTCGCGTCGTCCCTGTACGAGGAAACTTTCGAGATCGAAGGTGTCTCTTCCTTGCGCAACACCCGGTAGAACAGTCTCATTGGCGCCTCCTGCAACAGACGGGCCATCGCGCCGCTTTTCGTAACGTGCGCACCGCCGGGCCACTCGCCGGGCCAGGCTTTGTCACAGCAACTTACAGCTAGCGTTACTTCGCGAGCTTACTTATTTTATTTACGCAAACAATTTCCCCGAGATTGCTCCCCGTCCGGGCTACGGTCAGGCATTTTCAAGCATAAATCGATGGTACGCCACAGCGTTTCTTTAAAAGATAGAATGCTGATACTAATATTATATATAAAATTGAGAAAATTCCAATACCGAACAATCATAGTGACGGGTTTCTTTCATCTATAATGCGAGTTCGCGTAGACTCGTTTTGTACGATTATTATAAAAAGGATCGATCGGAGCGTTAAACTCACCTTCTTCCATCGAAAGATGCAAGCGAGGTCCAGAAGCGTCCAAGAGGGATCGAGCGGGCGCATGCTTTTCCTGTCGGGATACCGCGCCTCGTCTTTTTGGTACATAATTTCTATTTTATTATTGACACCGTTGGCGGTCGCGTTAGCCTCTTCCCATCCTCTCTTGAGCATCAGCAATCTCACCAGATGACGCACCGTCACGGCGGCCGGACACTTGAGGTACCTCGTGCTCGCGCCACTACTCTCGTCCTCTGGCGATACCTCGTTCTTCAACGAGTCGCGTCCTTCCCATCGCGTCGGCATCCCACCTTCCGTGTCCTCTAGCTCTCGCAAGCTCAGACTGACGAGGTCCTCCAGGCCGAGCTCGAGGGCGCCTACGGGCGGCGACAACGGCGGGCATTGCGGATTCACCAGGCGGAAGTGACGTCTACGTTTGAGTTCTGAGCGGAATAGACCGGGCACCGCGAGATATACCAGCCGTTGGAGCCGCGTATCCGGCAAGAGCGGCGGCGACGCCGCGACGCTGCACACGGGGCACGCGCGGGCGCCGCTACTCAGACGCCGAACGATGCAACCTCTGCAAACTGACGACCCGCGTTCGGCACGTGAGGAAACGACGGCCATGACATTGCGATATTTAAGACAATAATGCTTCGAGAGGGACTTGATTTTCTCTTTCATTTTCCCAGATTTCAAAAGAACCTTAAAAACACTTGTGTGTACGTTTCGAGGGCGAGGATAATGCAAATTGAATTAATCTATCAGTTACAAGCTATACCATCTCGTTTAAGAAAAGCACATTGATTTTGAAAATTCTGAAAATAATCTCGAAAAAAAATCCTTTCTGGATTACATTTGTTTCTTATGCAAGTATCAAGCAGAATTACGCCCTTAACAGTGTACTTTTTTACAGTAGCATATGACCGTTCGGTGGTTAACGACAGGCAATAAAGTTGGAGAAAATACTAACAGGAGTGCAGACATTCCACAAGAGTCGTAGCGTCTATGAGGTATCCTCTGCACAGGGGACACACGATATGTTCGTTCAAGTCTTTGACCAACGGCTTTTCCCTTTCCTTTGCCTCCATGTTGTTAATCTGTGCTGAAACAGCTGTGCCAATCGATCGTTAATCTCTCGAAAACAATACAGCTGCCGATGCAGCTACGAGACACACGCGTGTTTGAGAATTTATTTTTAATCTTCTGTTGTCAAAGAACATCTTATCCTCGATTTTATTTAAACCCTCAAAACTCAGGAAGAACCTACGAGTCCTTCCTACCCTAGTGATTTCAACTACTAAAGATTTCTAAAACACAACATGCAAGTTTGTAGGCGGCTGCTGTGTGAGAAAAGAGTTAGCGATGGGGATACTTTAACACCAGAAGTTTGTTGAAATTAGTTTTTGTTTCTCGTAGAAACAAAACGGCGAACTCTATACTATACTGGAATATCTTGTTAAATGGGAGAAAATATGGCCAGAACGAGACAGACAAATGGTATCATTTCTGTCTCTTTCTTATAATTACAATTAGTAATTTGGTTGGCCAAATGTTCTATCTCACTTTATACAAGTGAGATAGAAAATCGTTGACTAATTCGAATTACTAGAAAGAGATAGAAATATTTAGTCAAGTCCTGGCGGATATTTGAACTAAAACGGATCGGAGTTTGCGTATGGCGTTGGCGCCATTTTTAATTAAAATTTCTTCACCAAAGTTTTTTTATTGCAGATTGCGTTCAGTACAGGTTTCGAGAGTTTCGAATTAAAAGTAAAAATAGCGCAAAGTCCCGAACCTCGAAATCTACTCGATTTTCGAGGGACCCTTCTGCTTCCGTTCTTTATACTAAAGCACTTCCACAATGTGACTTTTTACAAGTCAAATTTCAAAAACTAAATATTTTAAATAACAATGGCTCGTATGATAAAATCAAAGAATAATAGAAGGGCCTCAGAGCCTGAACAAGGTTGTAATGTCCGATAAAATTACTTTATTTAAATTACTAAATATTTTAGACATGCTTACATGATTGCCTCTCAAAAAAAGAGGTAAGCATCAAATACTCAAATTCATTATTTAGACATTTAATTAACACTCGAATGAATTTGTGCGAATTCTTTCAGAATTTTTTCAGTACATTAGCATTACCTACTTAATAAGAGGCGCCGACACGAAAGACCCAGAATTCCGATTTATGTTGACGGGAAAGAAACAACAGTCCGAGGGTTAATATCGCAATTACATATATTGACGAGCAATGGAGAAATTATATATTTACTCAATTTCTTAAACAACAATTACTTCCCACAAATAAACTAGTAGACGGCTATTTTGTTCAACGTCAAATAGAACGAAAATACACATAAATTAGAAGTTAGATTTTCTGAGAGAAAATTAAAAAAAATATATTTACGAAACTCCGAAGAAGATTCTCGGCTCCGATACAAAGATAGCAACAGTCCGCATGACAATGTAAGAATCAGAGTACAAAGCAACGTAATACCCAGATAGCTTATTGTTAGTATGCTCAAGCAATGTATGGAAATAAAATGCTAGTAACTGACCTAGCTCTTCGGAATATGAATTCAATGTTTAAGTGATTCAAGCACAGCTGGTATATTAACATACTGTCATAGTTAAGTGCACAGCTAACGAGAGAGCACATCGAATGGGTATACTGTTAATAAAGAGTTAGCACACATTTTTTCAATTTTCTAACACATATAAACATATATCTATTACATCTGACCAAGCACTTAATGCCAATGTTTCATTTTCGACATCAAATGCTAGCGAACAACAGCACAATAGATGCTAACATTATTGTTAGCAATATGAAAGCAACTTGTGCTCGCCCCGGTTGTATGGGTAGCTTATGACAGACGCAAGCGTAAACGTAGGCTTTGGCGTATGTCGTACTTACCTCCAATCATAGTATAACTAATAGGTCTACTCCGTAATATTTGTTTCATTTTGCGACGGTCTTTTTTGCGCATCCAACATTGTTCTGGGCAGGCCAATGACAGAAAAGTTGAATGTGCGGTAGTGTAGCTTTGATACACTGCCACACGTGCAACTACAGTACGTACACACACACATACGCTTCTGGATTGCTGTCCAGAATAATGGCGGAATACCACGTGATCGGGACCGCAAAGATCAAAGAGGCCGGCAGAGTGGATTACTAGTTATACTATACCTCCAACTATTACACTTAGGTATGACGTTACATTAACGCCAAAGTTTGCGCGGGATCTACGCTTGCGTCTTTGTCGTAAGCTATTATGTTGCTTTGTATTCTGATCCGTAGAATCGGCGCGACGCCGCCGCGGTGCGCATCGTCGACGATAAAACGTGCGATAATGAGCAGCGCGGTAGCAGTCCGCTGCCGGCGCATCCGTGCAAACACGCGTGGCAACGCGTGGCAACGCGTAGCAACGCATAGCAACGCGCAGCAACGTTCCCGTTGCAGGCTGTACAGCTACAGCACCAGGCGAACGCTGACGCGGCGCGGCGGCGCCCGTTTGCTCGCTCGCGAGCAACGGCACGCGATTTTCATGTGCATCGGCTCACGATGCCGACCGCGGCCGACGTGCGCAGACAAATGTCCCTGTCGTGAGAGATGGTGAGAGATCTCGAGGGAAACGTGCCGACGTACGGCCGAGACTTTAAGGTCTATCTCTTAAAGGGGATGCTTTTCTCTACTCTCCTCTCTTTCTCTCTCTCTCTTCGTCTGTCGCGCGCGCGCGCATCCAAGAACCAGCGTGATACTTTCGAGCCGGTAAACATGTCGAGCCCGACGACTCGGCGGCGTATAGGTGTATAAGTGCGTGTCGTTGTGTACAAGCGAGTTTCGTCGCGGTGCGATCCGTTTGTGCGACCTGCTCGGCATCGACGATGACGAGAATAGCCAAAGGTCCCCGTAGCGCATAAAAGAACGCAAGCGATGTCTACAAGACAGTAATCACAATCGCGAATTCTCCTCGACGTAAGCCATCGTTCTCGGGAACGCTCTTCAATGCAATGGCAATGGCCCGTCAACGAAAGCGATTGGTTCGTTGCTTTTCTTTTTCGTTTCCTTTACCTGCTAAGCTCAAGTAAAAGTGCCACTGATTTCAAGTCCCTCAAATATTGACAAAATTGATCGAACGAGAGAAAAAGAACAATGAGGATTTTCTCGGTTTAAAGTACGCATAACTATGAGAAATATTAATATTTTATACGTGTGACAAATAAAATTATTTTTTTGTAATAATTAAAGAACTTGTACGATACATAAAAATGTGAAAAATTGTCGGCACTAGACAGCATCGTCGTACTCTTGCGTGTAAAGATAAGAAAAAGACGTAACTACGTTCTTTCGTAACAAGTATCGTCGCGCGCCTTTCGGAGAGTTTCTCCAAGTTGGAGAAACGCAATTCGGCAAGTCACGATCGTTCGTGTCGAATGCCTGAAAAATAGTTGCGATGGAATAGTGAAGACTGGCCGTGGTAGCGTAATGGTCCGCGGTGGGTTAATGAACTTGCGAAAACGAAAGTCGACCACCACCTGTGCCTTGTTGGTACAACGTTGGCGTACGAATCCGTGCGAAAGCGACTCCGCTCTGTGAATGATCCGCCAAGGCTGGACGCGCGAGGGAAGGGATGAGCATCTCACCGCTCTCCCTCGCTCCTCGTCCTGTGAGAAAGAGAGGCAGAGAGAGAGAGAGGACACGGGTGCCAAGTCCAGAAAACGTTCCTCGCATGCCGTGACTCGTCGGAAATCGAGTCACGTGTCATCGCTCGCGCCGGATAAACAAACTCGCGAGGTCAGACAAATTCGGATCGATCCTCGAGGCTTCTATTCGGCGTTGCCTATCGCGAAAGAAACCATTTTTGCTTTCGACTAACACGCGTTTACGTATCACGTTTCTTCCGGAAAAGAACGGCCGGTCGAGAAATTTTGGCTTCCCATTCGATCCCCGATTTAAATTTTTCGCATGCCGCAGTTGGTAGGACAGGTTTGCGAGAATACGCCGCGAAATTGCGATTAAATAAAGCGGGATTGCGACGTTAATGTGTTACAGATAACTTGCGTTTGGTTACGGGGAAACGTGCGACAGCACTGCGATTAAAAAATAAAATTGCGATTGGATATTCTGGAAAAGCGGACACTTTATCGAGCAAACGCGAATATCGGGGACAGAAAAAAAATGTAAAAAGTATACTTCCAATATTGACTGGCTATTCACCTACAGTAATTTCCACCTTTCCGTGAAATTGCATAAAATAAAAATAGGTTATTTACGTTTTGCGCGCCGGTAATCGGATGTTTCTCACAATCGAGCGACGAAAAATGAGCGAAATACCATTCCTATCGGTTTTATCGCGTCACGGCCTTGCGATGTGACAGAGGTAAATTAAGCGCGATAACCATGGGACGTACATACGCTATCTCCCGTAGCATTCTCCAACTCGACTAGCGCGCACAACCAGGTGGCTTATCGCTCGTGTAAAGATTGATGAAAAGTGACGTCTGACGATTCGAGGTTACGAGTGTGTCTCCTGTCAGGTGGGAGACCTTTGGCTTTTATTCAGACATGGATTAGCATGGCCCCCTACTACCGTTAGCGAGCAGAGCACCGCCACACGACAAGTACCTACACACCATAGCACTGTATATACCGAATTGAAAGAGCGTGTCACTCGGATTCATGCACCCTACAGAGCGGCACGATGAAAGAGAGAGCGAGAGAGAGAGAGTAAGGTGGAAAGCAGCTTACCAGCGGCGTGGTAGAGGCGATCGTCGTCGTCGTCGTCGTCGCCGTCGTCGCCGTTCCCGGCGGTGGAACGTAGCGGCGGACGTGGCAACGACGGTGCGACGGCGGTGGCCGCGACAGCCGCGGCGGCGGTGGCGGCGAGGAGGTGGCAACGTTGCTCCGTCCGTCGGCGTGCAACGGCGCCTCGGCTCCGGCCCCGGCCCCGGCCCCGGTCCCGGTCCCGGTCCCGGCTCCGGCCGCGGCCCCGGCCCCGGCCCCGGCCCCGACCGCGGCCCCGGCCCCGGCACCGAGGCGTCCGATAGCGCTCGTCGTCGCTCGTAGTCGTCGCTCCCAGCGTCGGCTCTCCTTTCCGTACGCGAGGCGCGCGGGCGCGAGTCGTCGAGTCTCCCGCGACTCCGGACAGATAAGCGACGCGCGGCGATAGCGGCCACGTAACATCACGTCCCCGCGTAGCCCGTCATGGCTAGTGACGTAACGACCGTATGCATGCGTGTCGCGCACCAGTCGTCGCGTCGTGTCGACTGTCACCGATCGACGCGCGTCTCCGTCGCGCTCCTCGTCGCTACTCGCTTAACGCTGTCCTCGTCCTCTACACACCACCCACCGTTGATCGACCGGCACGAGCCGAACCGAGGGGCGCGCGCGCGCGCAGCAGAGAGAGAGAGACGGACGAGCCATTTCCCCACCCCTTTCCCCGTACGCGACTTTCGCGCCGCGATGTTGCTGTGGCTACTCCGACCGACTCGTTGCTACGACTCCGTAACTCGTTACACGGTACGGCATGATTGATGATGATCGGCTGAGAGAAAGGAGGAAGCCCCAAAATTCAAGAAAGAGAGCGCGAGACCGAAAACGCGTGCAGAGGCGGTTGCGCTGATTGCGCGGATGATAGTCGCCGCGGTATTTCGATATCCACGCGATTAGGAGAATGACGACACCGCACGGAAAGAGAAGGCGCCCCGTATCGACCCCGCCTAAACCCCGCCTCGCTGCGACGGAACCGCACGAGCGACGCCGAGCGTCGACGGGCGTCGACGGACTCGCTACGCTCCTTTCGGCGATTCCTCGCTCCGTCTCCTTCTCATCTCGTTCGTGCAGTTTTCGTCTTTCTCTCCCTCTCTCTTTCTCTCTTTCTCGTCTACCTTATCCGGAGGCTGCCGTTCTGTATCCATGTTCCTGTTCTACGCAAAGATCGCGCGTTATGTTTCCCGTGGCTTCGCGAACGCGTCATTGTTCGATCGAGTCCATCTCCCGGCGAGAACATTTCTTTGGCTTCTTCAATTGCGACGTATCGAGCGAAATAATTCGAAATCATTGTGTAATGAACACGGTACAAAATGTATACCAAAAAATCGACACGCGCACACGAATATTTTGAGAAATACTTTCCCATACAGCGCACATGTCTAAGGCCTGTTGAGCCTGCAAGGCCCGTTATACAATACGTTTGTCGCTGTCGGATGTCGGACGTAGCCGATGGTCCAATGAGAAAATTTCTTTTTTGAAGACGTCTTTAGGTCGTTTATACTATACATGCGTGTTGTTTGAGTTAATAGGTTGTACAGTACGTGGCACTTACTGAATAAAGATGTTACAATATTTACGTCTGATTTGAAATACTTGCTCTTTAATAATACGCAGCTCGTATAATCAACAAATTTACTTTTCTTTCGCATGTGTTTTATGCGTTAGTTAAAGGGTTGTTCAATCTTTACGACTTGCAAAGAAAGAGAGAACATAATAACGATTAGATATGTAGATAACTTGATGGCTGCACAGGACGTGCGCGACAGAGGACATTTTATAAATTGACCAAGTATTCCGAAAAACTAATTACTAAAAATTCATTACTGAATGCCAGTATCTTGCGATCTTCACGCGATCATCAAAATATTGCTAACAATTTTATTATTATTAATTTTGTATTGGTAATTTAACGCGTCGTGGTGAATCTTGGTATAAATGTGATAATTTCGTTTTCGGTTTACACGCGCGTAATTAACACGTTTAAAACCAAACTGAAGGAAAATGCCAAAGGTTTAACGTGACGCGATCCACGTAGTTGCGCCATTAACATGTATGAAGAAAAATGAGCGATATAATAAAGATCGCAGCAACGCGGAGCGATCAATTACGTATTAACATGCATCAGCGATATACGATAATTAGCAGAAACTCGGCCGCGTTGCGTGCAAACATATGTAGGACGGATGCCCGTAGCCGACCATTATTCGAGTTCTGCCACTCGATATGTCTGTAGCGGTATATTTTACCGCGTTAACGATATATTTGTCGGTATTTTAAAGCTGCAGTCACGTTGAATTGTACAACGTGAAAAAGGAGAAATTGCGCACATCTTTTTCTTCAGCATCGAAACGAAACCTTTTTTTCACATTATCTGCGGCGCTCGCGAATACACAAGTTAGACGAAGAAATAGCTAATCTACTTATGATATCGACTGATCTCTTTCGCAAGGCCGTATCTCGATTTTACGCAATTTTCGGTTTTTGCACCTGAAGGCTCATTCTGGAACAGAGAGCCAAATCTGCCAGAACAGATTTCGTCAAATGCCCACTACAAATTTTGAAGGCAGAAAGACTGTAGATTGCACGCAGGAACTGACATATCCGACATGTTGCCAGGAGAAATACAACAAAATCTGCTCACATAACTGGACCTGTTCGATTTCTGCCGACAATCTATTGAGAGCGTTTTACAGACTCAGCTGTTGCCAAAGCAAAAGCCAAATGCGGACACAGATGGTTTTGGTGTGGGCTTCTGATAATCTGCTGCCAATCTGCTAACATTTTGCTGGCTGGGTACGACCTTGCGAAAGAGATCAGTCGATATGCAGAAAATGTACTATACAGATATAGTTTCACGTAACCGAATCTGTATGCATTCTTTTATCATTCGTGTCACTATTTTATCAGAAGTCACATGTCGATAAGCGCAATAAATTCAGAACGTTATACTCATTGCAGAAATAGATTTCCTATCGCCAGTAATACAAAATGTACTGGCCAGTGTAGGTCGTTTCAAAAAACTATCATTTTGGTTCATAACATTACTTTAGACATTAATATCTAAGTCTTTTGTTCGGGGGCTCGAATCGTGAATTCACTCGAACGAGAAACGTATACGAAAATTCTACTCTTAAGGCTGGTCTACAATACATGGAGTAAGCTGGAGTAAGCTGGAGTAAGGAGTAGGAGTAAGGAAATAAATCC